TGAGTTCATAATTTTATAATTATCATAAGACAAAGGATGGTCCATAAAATCTTAAAAGCAATAAAAATACATTTGCTATTTTGCAATTAATAATGCAATTTCCTTTATTCACAAAATCCAAATCCTCATGAACCAAAGAATAACCAACTAAATTACCTGTTAACATCTCATACCATCAACAAGTTTTTAAAACATATATTAAAATAAAGGCTACGTTAAATGATAGGCCCTAACCTTTTTACTCCTCCAATACAAATTTCAATTTCAATTTACGGAACCAGAAAACATCACAATTATTGTTGTTCTAAGGTCAAAATATTGTGTTCAACAATAGAAAAGTAGAATTTAAGTTTTCATGTTACTTATTTTACTTTAAGTCACCAAATTTTGTCTCTAACTCATGCATATTAATAAAAAGATCAATTTTTTATGATCCATGTACACAGGCCAAAAGGCTTACAATTAACTTGTAAAACAAAAACTCTCTCTCTCTCTCTCTCACACACACACACACACACACACACACACACACACACGCACATGCACACACCTACATTTCTTCAGGGCTATAAAAAAAAAACAAACAAAAATCTCATTGCCCTCTAGTGAAAACGGCCCATCATATGACGATAATACCATCAGAATGCAGTGTTTCACAACCACCACAATGTAGGATTGACATATGACATTTATAAAATGTCAGCACCCCTCCCCCAATTTTTACAGCCTATTCCTCAGTAGGGTTTCACAATGTAAAATGAACCAAAGGCAACTGTGTGCTCATTAGCTGTGCCACTTCTGATACATTACGTCGATTGACAATGAACCACTGTGATATCAAAGTGCAGGTGTAAAAAATAATAAGGCAACTGCTTGTGTAACAAAATCTCACTAACTGAGAATGTGTAATAAATATGCAAGGAGGCAGTTTTTTATTCATTGAAAATGTGGCATGGTACATCAAACATAAAACCCAAGAAAGGGTTTTGACATGTCAAACTCAATTAAAATTTGTTTTCATGACTATCAACAGAGAGTCTCAGTAACTTATTTGTGAATGTAAAAGTGATTATGCAAGTACCAATAGAAGGATCCAAAGATATTAAGAGATTCAGACAGTGCCAGAAGCAAACTAACGCCTAAGTCTGCCATCACTTTTAATTTTAATAACTGATAGAGAACATGTCATAATGGAAATTATTTTAGTACACTTAAAACCCGCTTTAGACACCTTCTGCCTGTTGGAAGAATATATACATTACTACCTTTCCATGAACCGTGCCGCATCTCTCCAATGGCCCAGGATCTTAGTGTTTTTAAAAATCCCTAAGGGGGAAAGCTTAAAATAATTAATGTAATTAATGAAGCAAAACAGTGATAGCAATTGGAACGATGTAATATATATATATATGAACACATGACTGGTTTTCTTTTAGAGATAAAAAGGAGAAATATGAGATTCAATTGAGTTTATTTTCTAGAAAATTAATTACATCACTAATTCCCCAAATCAAGAATGTTTACATTTTATTGCCTTTGAGAGTCATCCAGACCAATAAGTATACCATTAAAACTATAAAATCCTGAACTCAGAAGATGATAAATACATTGGAAAAGTGTTTGTTTAGTTTTGACACGCCATCATCATTTAAAAATTGAAAAAATGATTTAGTGCAATGGACTGTCTGGAAAATTCCAGAACTGTATTAAAAAGTTATGGAAGTAACACCCATATTTTTTCACATGGGGGAGATGTCCCATTAGAACTTTTTATGAATATGAAATATTTTACTTTCACAGCATGTTAAGAATCCTGACCAGGCAGGTATGTTACTATTACATTCTGTCATTATATTCACTAAGCCCTCAGTTAAACTTGGTAATAAAGTTACTTAGATAAACTCTTTCCTTCTCAGTAATCTTTAATGGGTCATTTTGAGAAAATACAGAGGTATTAAAGGGAAATTATCTAGATGTCATTAACAATAATGATATTAATCTTGAAGTATGGATGTTGTAGCCATCACTCCTTTTCATAATTTGTTCAGGTGGTTAATTACCTTAATAATGATAATTGAAGAAGGCACAATAGAAAGAACACATCATAGTCCTGTTTTTGTTTTTAATAAACTAAAGTATATGGTTTACTTAGATTTCCTTAGTTTTTACCTAACACCCTCTCCCGTTCCAGAGTCCCACCCTGCACACCACATTACATTTATTAGCCATTCTCCTTAGGCTCCTCTTGACTATGCAAGTTTCTCAGACTTCCCCTGGTTTAGATGTCTTTGACAGTACTCCTCAAAATTGCCAAAGACACAGTCCTGGTTTTTAAACTGTAGTGTGCATCCAAATCATCTACCGAGCTAGTTACAAATATAGATGCCCAGGCCTCATTCTCAGGCCTCAAAACCTGGGCTCGGGTTTGTGCATGTGTATCCACCTCTACATGTCATTCTGACTAATACCAACACTTGCCGCCCATTCCTCAAGATATTGATAAAGAATTTAATATGATGTTACTCACATCTTCTCAGGTCGATTTTCTACAAACCTCTAGGTAGCCTACATTCCCTTGTTTACTACTGATAATCTTTAAGCCAAATCTTCCTTCTTTTCATAAAATAAAAGGTAAGGGTGGGGGCCTATGTGTTAAGAACACGAAGGAAAGTATTGTATAAAAGTACGCCACTTAGATCACTGTATTTGTAATCACCTTAGTCCCTCCCTTGTGCCGGATAGTGTGCCTCTTCTCCTCGCTTAGTCTTAGCCCCTGATCACACCCCCCACCCCACTAACCTGCCTCCTTCAGTCCAGTACCTGATGTTCCTCCAACTGCTATGGGTTTTTTTTCTTTTTCTTTTTTTATAAGTTTTAGGCATACAAAGCAACGTAATAGTTAGATATTTACACCCCTCACAAAGTGATAACCCCCCCACCAATCTACTACTCCTCTGACATTATATATAGCTGTTACAATACCATTGACTCTATTCCCTATGCTGTACTCCACATCTTGTGTGTGTGTGGGAATATATATATATATATATATATATTTATTTATTTATATATATGTATATATAAATATATATATATATGCACACACACACACGCGCACACACACGCACACACACATATATGTATATATATAAAATTTGATTATAGCTGACATTCAATAGTATTCTACTTCAGATTCAGGTATATAGCTCAGTGGTCAGGCATCTACAGAGTCTATGAAGTGATCCCCCTGATAAGTCCAGTGCCCATCTGGCACCTTATATAATCTTTACGACATTGTTGATTATATTCCCCATACATGTACAGCTGCTATGGTTTTATAACTCAAATTTCAAAAATGTTTTCCCTGTGACTGTGCTGCAAAGCGAAAGGAATCAAGGATTATTCCTTCCTGTAGATTATAAGGCCCACTGCAACCCGGCTTCAGTCTATCTTTCCAGCCCACTTCTACTCCATCCAAATGGTTTGCTCATGGTCTCCCCAAATGCCATAAACGTTTCAGCTTTTGGATCTTTGCTGACATAATTTGCTTTATGCTAATGATCATCCTTATAAATCTTTGCCCATCTTAACCACATTTCATCTTGCAAATTCCAGCTCAAGCTCCACTTCTTCCTGGACTAGACTACTCCAGACCAAAATGAGAGACTGCCTTGCTCTAGATCCTCATAGAATTTTCTGCCATTTGGCACTTAATACACAATATATTTTCATTACCTTAAATTTTTTTTTTCTGCCAAATATGGTTATATTAAAAGCAGGACCTCCACCCTCCATCTTTTCAATTTCCTTCAGTGCTTTTTGGGAAATATTTATTGATTGGTATTTTAGAATCACTTTTTTAGTAAGACACTAAGAATCAAATTGATCTTGGTAGACTAAAAGAGCTACAGGATTAAAGAGTACTGGTCTTTTTCATTGCAGATAAGCAAGGGTTTAATCATTTGGCGAAGAGTGAATAGGGATTTTAAAGGGTTTTTCTATACTAAATCTTTCAGCATCACTGCAACACAGACAAATTCAGATGTTACTCATGGTAAAATGAGATTAAATTCAACAAGCATTTATCGAGGGTTTCTGCTATATTCTGACCTCAGGTACCGGAGGGGCAGTCACTCCAAAGCCCCTCTGAACCTGACACAGTGCTTTATATCTATCACACTAGGAATTTCTTCTCTATTCTAAAACTTATTTAAATTACACTTTAAGCACTTGTGGAGAGAAAATGATTAGATGCAGCCTCTTATCTCAAGGAGCTTTGAATTTAGTATTGGTTTAAAAGATCAAGCAGCCACTCAGTTCACTGGACGGAAGTTAGTAAAATTCCAGAAGGAAATGAAATTTATTGAGATAATATTTAAAGCATAATGGTATATGTATTTGTGCAGAGAAATGTAAACATACATGTAAAAGACTCTAGATATTCTACATATAAAGCACAAAGTTCCCTGCTGAATGCAAGGAATGTTTGTGTTTTAAGATGGGATTTTTTTTTAAATTTGTTCAGTCAATATCGGAGTGAGTACCTGTCTTCATTCAGTCATTCCACATGTAGGTGAGAGCTGCCTTCATGCAAAGTGTTTCCTTCCATTTGGCCTGAGATAGTCAGGTGCTCAAGTTTAAAGGGCCTTTTGGCCATTGCTCCTTTTCGTGGGATGGGGCTGAATAAAAATCCTGCCCATTTAGGCTGAATAAAAATCCTGCCCAAATTCTTCCACCCCCAGAGAGAGAAGTCTTTGCCATAGACCATGGCACTGAAATTGGATTTAAAGACCACATATACCTTGTTACCAAATATCAACTGAAAGCTTGAAATGGGCTGCTTCTATCCTCAGTGCTCTCTCCCTTCACTCTGCTCTGGTCATGCTCTTGTATGATTGACATTCATTATTCTCTCACCCACCACATTGTAGACTCCTCTTTGGTATAAACAATAATACTTTATTATGTCGTATCATCCTCAGCAATTAGCATAGCGCTCTGCACCAAGGTATTTGATAAATTCTAGTTAATTGCTGAATAATTTAATTGAAAACTTGGTTCTAAATGTGGTTGTTTCAGTGATGGTAGTGTGGTATATAAAGATGCATAAGACACAGTTCTGCTCCCAAGGAATTTCCATTTTACCTGAGATAAAAAACACATTCTTAAATAACTGCAACACAAAGTATGAAGTGATAAGGGTCACAGAAATGGTGCAAAGGAAGTGGTATGAGCATTCAGAGGAGGAAGAGATTACTTCCAGCTGTTCAGTGTCCAGTGTCCAGTGTTCTGTTCAGGGCAGTGAGGATTACAGGATAAAAGAGATGGGGTTTGCTGCAACTGGATACACAAATCACTGGTGGGATGAAACAAACATGCAGTTCTGGTTAAATAAAAGTCCAAAGATGCACATATCAAATCCAAAATGAGTGGTACATTCAGTGCTACACTGTCTGTGAAAGAGATACCCGTGGTGCAAGTGTGTTTGGGAAAGGCTTCATGGAGACACTTGGCTTTGAACCTTCAACAATGGACAGAATGATGAGATGAAAAAGGGGGATTTGAGACGTAGGAAATAACACTGGCAATATCTCAGAAAGGAAGTTGAAAAAAGGAGATGCTATGCAGTTGCTTTTCTTTGTAAAAACCAACCATCTGGAGCCCGAGGTTATGACTCATCAATCCTCTTCAATGAGCCCTAAACAAGAAGAAGCAAGGAGAGTGATGAAGCCTCCTGTGGTAGAAACAGCAGAGAAGGTTTGAGTTGCTCTGTTAGTGGACAAATATCCCTGAATGTCTTTAGGCTTTGACTTGGGAATGTGATGGTGTTCCTTCTGTTCCCTTGATCCTGCCACCTCATATGAATCTATTAAAGCCATATCCCATATTTTAACTCACTTCTGGCCTCTGACCCTTGTGCTAGATAATTGACATATTGTGTTAAACATTCATGAAACTGGATATAAGAATCCTTTTCATGAAAGATTAAAAAATGCTATAAAATAATTGTGAGAAAGGAAACTGGCTATGTATACTAAGGTAATATTAATCAGGAAAAATCCAAGGTATGACTGTTCCATCTTAAGGAAATATAGATAAAATGTATTTTTTTTCCTCTCTGTAAAAACTCTACATTTTGCTTGTTACAGCTCCCAGATGATGAATCCTTACATTTCAGTATATTCTTCTCACTGAAATAGAATCAGGCACTTCTCCTCAATCTCTCCTGGCTCTTATTTTGAATGGCTTCAAGATGTAGTTAAAATGTTTCCCCCTCCTCAGTTTTATGTTTTGTCATTGATATATTTGCAAAAACCAGAGTTCTTATTGAGTTTAATAAATTTGTTTTTATACATGTTCTTCCAAGTAGATTTTTAAAACAACAAATTTTTATTCATAGTAAAATCATGTCATTATTTTTATCTTGAGTGGACATAAAAATGTAAAAGTAACATGGAGGAAAAACTGTAGAACATGGTCAACTATTTAGCATACCACAATAAATTATGTGAAAATAAAATTACTACAGAAGTAATTTTTCTTATCAACAAGCTCTAAGTATTACCTAGAGTAAAGTTGTCCCCAGAAATTATGTGGTAAAAAAAAATCTGAGAACTTATTGAATAAGAAATGCATATGAACTCTACTCTAGATTTCTGTTATAATAATTTGGAAAGATTTTCAAAATCCATTATATATAATGTATAATGAAAGCTTCTAGTTTCGTTTTGAAAAGCTTCTTGTCATTTGCTTATTTCATCAGAAAAATCAGACAACCATAAGATTTTTATAATGGGTTCCTTAATTGTACTTAATATGACTAACTATATATGGAAGACACATAACATCCATGTATTTATATCAAAATAGCATGAAAACTGTGGTGTATATTAAAAGCACGCAGTATCTACTTTTGCTTTGTAAAATTATAGGAATTTGTAAATAGCAAGGGTGACCTCCAGTGTGCAATAGGTTTATGCCATTGCATTTTTTCAGTAACAGAAAATGTGCATTGGTTTACTCCAATTCTCTAAGAGTGCTAAAGATAAGGAGAAAGGGAATTTTCTGTGTCAAAATGAGTTTGTAAGTTCAAAGCAATTTGCTGTGTGTGTGTGTGTGAGTGTGTGAGTGTGTGTGTGTGTGTGTGTGTGTGTGTGTGTGTGTGTTAAGCTTATGATGTTGCTTGGAACCCGAAAAAAACAAAAACCTTGGGAAAAGAATCTGTGACTAAAAAAAATAAGAAAATTATTTTTCTTATATATGATCTGATTAAGACATATTCATTAAAGCTTTGAAGAATAAGTTGAATTTACATTTTTTGAAATGAAAATTCAAAAAGGACATTCTTTAAATGTGATGTACTGCCATGCAAATAGTGAAACCACCTGACATATTTCTATACACTGATACCGACACTTATACCAAATAACAAACTAACACCACCAAAAATAAAACTTAAAAAGCCTTTTAGAAAGTCTTCAAGATCAAAAGCTTTTCACTGGAGATAAAATTTCTTTCTATGAAAAGCTAATGGCTTGCCACAGTGTATAATATAATTTCTATTTGTCTCTAATCTCAACACAATAAAAACTATTCACATGAAAAGAAAAAAGCATGATGCTTTCCTTACAAGCCAATTCAACATCACTCACTTCATCTTTTACACTATAGATAATACAAATCATCCAAAACTACTTGGGAATTTTTCTTTGCAGATTTTATTTTCATTTCTTTACTTGGCGAACAACCTAAACTTTGGGGGAATGAGGTTTCCTTTCAAAGGATTTTGTTAGTAAAACATCAAGTTCTGCCTTAGCTAACCAGACCACACAAAAGATCTAATTATATGGGTGCCCACCAGAGCTCCTGCCTGTCAGAGTCAGTGTCACTCAAGCTCTGTCACTCTTTCCATTAGGCCTATCTGCTTTCAAAGGTCTAGGCCGTGGACGTTAAAAATTTGCTCCAGGCTGACTCTTGGCATAAAAGGTATAAGGCTGAGAAGGAATTGCTTTTTATGAATATTCATAACAATCAGAGTGAACTTCTTAAGTTCCTAGACAGGAAAAGGTGTTCATAACTGCATGTGATATGGTTTGTTTATGTAATTTATAATACAAATGGTGTATGTGTATCAAATATTTACTACTAATAGAATATAATTAATGAATTACTTAAAATTCACATTGGTGACAATATGCTTTAATTTTAATAAACTATGAAATTCCCAAGTATGGTATAATCTAGGGAACAATAATTATTCCTTTGGACTTGTTATGATCTATCATGTCAAGAGTCTGTGTGCTACCTGCTAAGAAATGCCTGAGCAGTCCCTGACATGATGGACCCTAATGGTTCCAGAGGAGCCATTATCGTCTATTGTGTCAATATTTTGCACACTAAAGAGGATCCACAGAAGAGTTCTAAACCAGGCCTTTGCATATCAGACAGTAATGATGACTCAATCTATTATGTCAATAATATGGTATAAAAAAGTCATTCTCCTGAATGTAAACAATTACAGTCTTAGGCATGTTTTGTCAATGATCTGCTTAGAATATTCTTTGAGTACTCTCAGAAGATAGCATCTCTCAAATCTTGCTAGAGTAAGTTTTTCTTTATTCTGAAAATTTTCTTCATTCTGAAAATGTCATTTTAAATGTGGCAAATCAATCTCATAAAAATGTTTGGATCAAAAATTAAATTCACCCAAGCAAATTATTTTCACCTCCTCTTAAGTCAAATTATATTCTCCAGGGTCCCCCCAAATATTTTAGATAACTTTGTAAATAAAGAATATACCTTTTACTTTTCTTTCTGGAGGAAACAAATCAAAATTATCTATGCAGTTTTGACCTTAAAAATTCACACCAATACATGTAGGTACCACCAAGGGGCTCAGCATTGAAAGTATATAAGTACTCATTACATTCTTTAATTAAAAGAAGAATCAGGGTTTATGTTTATTTTTGAAGCTATCATAAATAATGATTTTATTTTTGGAAAAATGATTTGTTAACATGTCTTAGGATTTTACTTTGAGACACCTTGGAATGTGGATTATATCTTTAAATACTAAGAATTATTAGGTGATGCATGAGAAAGCAGGGGTTATCTATAAAATAATATGTAAGCAAGAAAAAGCATCATAAAGTATTAAAGTACAGTCCAATCTAACTTCTTTTAAAGATGCATTTTAAGACCAGGAAGAAGAGAGTAATTTTTATGGCTTAATATTAATAAATTGACTTCTCATCCTAGTTATTTGTTTAAAACCTGCACTAACAAAATGCCAGCTATATTCATGTACCAAGTTTAAGATCAAGAATTTAAAAAATAGTATTAAACGCCTTACATTTAAAATAGGAATTCTAATAAAATGTCTCCTTTCGTAATTATATACAAATGGATTAAGTATCATAAAACGTAGAGTGCTTTTTTGTGTGCATTGATTTTTAAGAAATAGTTTCTCAGATGTGTCAGACATGCTTAGATTTTTGAGTAAGAGAATTTTTTTTTTTTTAATCTTGGCTCTGTTCTTATAAAGCAATGTTTTGGCAAAGTCGGCAAGTTCCTTAAATGAAGATCTTCCCCCACCACCCCCGCCTTCTGGGTATCAGGAGACCATTTTAATTCACTCACCAGCTAAATTCTCAAAGGGACTGGTGTATATGGTAACATAGGAGCCAATATCCTAGCTATCAGTTTTCATACAGCCTAGCTGGACCTTTACATTACGGCTGCCCCACATTTATTGTTCTTTCATTGCATCTGTCAGCATTTCCTGACAGCGCATTATGGAGCACATGGCTACAAAGTCAGTATCAATCAGTCCACGATCATGCAGATATAAGTAGCAGACTATTGATAATGGGCCTTAAATCAGATCATCATGGTTTAAGCATAAGGTTCTTAAAAGGCAGCAATCTCACAAGAACTCCCACTTGCCTGTACCTGTTACAAACACTACAAACCAGTTTCTGAAACACTACAAACCAGTTTCTGCATCTACCACCTACAACTTTATTGAAGAAAAAAAAAAAAGGATCTATTAAACACACATACACCGTAACATACATCACCATGTAAAATGAAGCATGAAGTGAAAGTCACTATGAATATAACTTTTATTCTCTCTCTTTAAAACAATGCGCAGAAGTAATATAGACTATCTCCCTTTACATTACTGAACTCAGCCTCCCAAGCCCCACATACACTTCTCATTGATAACAGCAGTATTGTTGTGTTTCAGAAATGTCTTAGTTCAAAAGCATTTCAACTTGATTTTGCCATTTAACAAAAAAAGTGAGAGAATTCATAGTTTAGAGGTATGCTACACTAAACTCAAGGTACCATGTTAAAAACAAAGGCATCTAATTTTTTCCAGACATAAATAATAAAACAACACAGGAGTTGCATGCAAATTTAGTAACATGAAATTTAAGGTGATAAACAGAATGGAGGCTGGCTTCTTGTTTAGTATTCCTTAGTTATCACCATAATTGCTGCATGTCTGTCATCACCAGCAAAAGAAAAAAGTGTCTTTCTCAGCTGCTCTCCTGCTTGTTTTGTTCGCTGTATTCTTGTAAAGTGGGAGAAAATAAGTGTCATTTAATGAATAGTGCTATTCTTTGTCTGACAGCTTCATATCTGTTAGGTGTAGGAGGCCTAGTACTTTCTTTTCTGATAATGTTTTTGACA